TTGCAAAAACACGCCCGCCGCCGCTCTAAGTCCAGTCAGCTAATTTGCTAATAACCCCCTCCGCTAATCACACTTCTAAATTCCTTATTCCCTGTTCGTCTCCCTCCCAATCCCTAATCACGGCCGCAACCTCCATCCCAACGAGGGCATCGGCCGCGGCAGCATGAATCCGCAGGCACAATCGCCACGGCGGATTTCATCTGCCCTGGCGATCTCAGCGACGGCCACGACGGGATGCATCTCCGAACTCCCCATCAGCTCCGTGGAAAAATTCTCATCGCGTGATAAGCTGCAACAGATCGTCACGACGGCTTCTACTGTTAAGGATGTTGAACATGCATCAGCGGTGATCCATAATTTAAGTGTTGACCATCGGTGTGCCTCTGCATCTAGCCATGGTGTGGCCCATCTCACTTGCCTTGCTACGTCTGTTGAAAATACTAGTGCTGCAGAATATGAACCGAACTTCAGTATGGTGGATGGAGGTTCAGGTAACATCCGTAAAATCTAACCATGTTGTGTATGACCCTGATGATTATTTGTCTATGGTGTACATGCGTACTTTTCTAGAGAATAACCGTGTTGATGCATGTGCAGCTACAGAATCCGGTAAAAGCTTGCAAACTCAAATGAATGAGCGAGAATTTGCTACGCCAAGAAAGAAAGAAAGCATTCCCCTATTCGTGAGTGTGATAAACTATGATTCACCATGCTTCTTACCAGTTCAGAGATTTATGCATAATGATGATTATTGTGATTCATTATTTATGTTTCAGTGCTCGTCTTTTACGCCGAGTTGCGACGAAAAATTGAAGCCTAAAGTAGGGATGACATTTGAGGGGCTTGAGGCTGTGGAGGAGTTCTACAAGTCGTATGCACATCATGTGGGTTTTGGAGTTCGTGTCGGACAGCAGAAAAAGTTGAACGAAGAAGTGGTTCGGACAAAGCGTTTCATGTGCAGCAGGGAAGGATTTAGGACTGAGAAGAACAAGGAGATTAAAGACCCATCAAACCAATCAAAGAAAAGCCGTAAGAATACAACCACTCGATGCGGTTGTGATGCACATATCTTTGTCAAGTTGTGTGGCAACAACACCTACAGGATACAATCATGGGTTGAGCACCATAGCCATGGCCTTGTATCACCTGATAAACGTCACTTGATCAGATCAAATCGTAAAGTTAATGAGAGGGCAAAAAATATGTTGTACACATGTCACAAAGCAAGCATAGGTACATGCCAGGCGTACAGGCTCCTTCAAGTCAGCGAAGGTGGGTTTCCGTATGTTGGATGCAGCAAGAGGGACCTGCAAAACTACTACCGTGACCTCAGGCTTAAAATTAGGAACGCCGATGCTCAAATGTTTGTCGCTCAACTAGCTAGAAAGCAAGAAGTCAATCCAGCTTTCTTCTATGATTTTGTTGTTGACAAAGAGGGGAACTTAATGTATGTTTTCTGGGCAGATGCCATGAGTAGGAAAAACTACAGTCACTTTGGGGGTGATTGTGTGGTATCCTTCGATTCTACTTACACCACTAATCAATACGACATGATCTTTGCACCATTTACAGGGGTCAATCATCACTTACAGAGTGTGTTTTTTGGTGCGGCATTCTTGTGCAATGAGCAGACTGAGTCATATGTTTGGTTATTTGAGACCTTCCTAACAGCAATGGCAGGGGTAGCACCTAGACTCATTATAACTGATGAAGCTGTTAGCATGAAGAATGCGATTGAAACAGTTTTTCCGACCACAGTGCATAGCTTATGTATGTGGCACATAATGGAAAAACTTCCGGAGAAGATTGGACCAATAATTAGAGAAGAGTCTGAATTTTGGGACAAGATGAATTCGTGTGTATGGGGTTCGGAAACTCCAGCAGAGTTTGAATCACAATGGAATTCCGTCATTACGGAGTATGGCTTGGAGGAAAATGAGTGGCTGGTTAAAAGGTTTAGCATTCGCGAGTCATGGATACCAGCTTACTTTATGGACATACCATTGGCGGGTATTCTCCGAACCACTTCAAGGTCTGAAAGTGCAAATTCATTTTTTAACCGTTTTATTCATCGTAAGCTTGCTTTGGTTGAGTTCTGGCTTAGGTTTGACACGGCATTAGAATGCCAACGAGAAGAAGAGTTGATTGCAATATTCCTACTGAAATTGACATACACCCACCAACTGATATTCGCACGGTGGGGAGATGCAAACGAATAAAGAGAGGAAAGGAAATAAGTGAGGAGGAACAGAAAAAGAAGAAGAAGGAAGCCAAGGTAAAGGTTGCACGCTTGTGCAAGACTTGCAAACAAATAGTTTTTCATGATAGTCGCAATTGTCCTAGCAAAAAAGAAGGCAAAGGGGCGGAGATTGTGCAGCAGATGAAGCCAAGTGGTGTTCCGTGATGGGCTGATGGCCCTCAGTCTGTTGAAAAACATGAATTTATATTACTGTTACTAATGTATTGAATTCTTGTGATGGATGGAAATTTGAGTTTCTTGAACTATCTTCCTCTTATTTTCTCTGAATTGGTGCATATCGAATATAGTATATGAAGCAGCAGGGCCACCATGTCACATTATGTTCACATAAACATTAAGCATGCTCTGTTTTTTTTTGTACAAAGATACATCTACCATATAGGAGAATACATTTTACAAGAATCTTTGTCAGCCTGTGAGCCATCATTCCTTTATTTACTTCGATAACAGTATGACCACTGTGCTTTGTTTACTTCGGGTGTAATATTTTGCCAGTAGTATCCAGGGAACAGCTCAGCTTGCAAACCCACATCAGCCTCAACAATATTATTCACGAACAGAAATTAAACAGTGCTTTGTTTGTAAGCTTGCAGTAGCAACATCTTATTTATGAATATCTGAATATGTCAAAGAGACGGAATGCAAAATCACCAGGAATTCCCAAGCACCAAGCATCAGCTGTATTACATCATGTATTGCAGAATACCTCAAATCACCGGGGCCAAGCTAAATTCACTTGTCTCTGAAAAACAATACTCAACTATAATGTACAATTCACATTATGATGTCTGGAGCTACACGCACATTTAACAAAGAATAATTTGATGGATGAGCTCGGAATCTACAATCTGCACATAGCCAAGTACTAGATACATTCAACATGAACAAGAAAAATCTAGGAACTTGGTCCTTGTTTGCCGGCCACTCGATCGAGTCTCTTGTTGCAGGTGGAAAACATCATCAGGCAGAGGAGCAACGCTGCATGCGGTCGCAGTGTATTGGATGGTGCGCAGGTTGCGGCCGTTGGCGAACTTGGCGTCGGGAACCCACAAGAAGGCGGGCGAGCGCGGAGGTAGTCCAGACATGGCGGATCTCACCGCGGCCGTCGTAAGGATCACCAGGGCCGTCGAGCGATTTGAGGCGAACGGACGCGGACGCAGGTGAAGCGCGAACAACATGGAAGCGATCAGCAGGGCCTTGGAGCCGTTCGAGGCGGACGGACCAAGTGCGGCTGCCGTGGAAGGATTCACCTGAGCCGATGTAATCGAGTGATTGGAGGAGACGATCCAGATTGAGAGGGAGAAGAAACAGAGAATAGGGATTTAGGATGTGTGATTAGGGGAGGGGGTTATTAGCAAGTTAGTAGACTGAACTAGGAGCAGCGGCGGGCGTGTTTCTGCAAAATTATGTCGCTTTTGATTCCATGCGTTAGATGTGGATCGGCTGGCTGAGAACTCGAGGATACACGGATGCACGACCTATCCCGGATGCACTAGATATGACGCC